CTTCCTTTTCCCCCACAACTCGCCTCGGCAACTTCTCAATCGCCTTGTCTGGTGGAAGCAAGCATGGGTAAACTGGTTGTAGAAAACACCTCTCGAGGCATGTATAGTGACGTGGTGGATAGACAGATTGGCACAGAGTCTGTCTGTGTGGTCCGTCAGGCAGCATGTTGAGTCGCGATGACGGAGACGAGCACTCCTGTCAGACGGACACACAATGCCTTTGTGACGTCTTACATGACGAGCACATGGCCCGAGTGCAGACGGCCCCGGAAACTGGGCCATGTGGCCTCATCTGTCCGTCTTATCAATCGGTCCATCTGACATTGGCTCTACTCGAATTACTCTCCGCATCGGCCTGCCCCGCTTTCCTATTATCTTTCGTGCCATATCATTCTGGACGCCGGTTCCCGGGCGAAGCCCCGCTCCGCGAATCCAGCAACACTGTCGCCGGCCTCGTCTCTCCCGATGGATCGATCGCTCCTATCAACGGGGCAATCGAGCCTCGAATGGCAGAGACAGGATTCTCATTTAAGAAGTACAAGCATACATTTTTAATTTACCACATCTTTCCCCTACCTTCAGCCCGGCTGCCTTGCTGCTCCACCTCCTCGGCCTTCTCCACTTCGTCCGGCCGTCTGCTTGTCTGTCCCTACGTTCATCCCTCGATCCGTGCGTGTGAGCATGTGTATAGGCGTGTAGACAATATCTTCTTTCTCTTTTCAGATTATGTAGCTATGGCAAATACAACTTTGCCTCGTCGACAATCCCATCACAGAATGTGATATGAGACAATGCCTGCCCTCCCGCGAAATCCACATCTGCCCTGTGACCCGAAGACACTCGCAGCGCCATGGTTCGAGTCCCGCCGGCGGTGTTGATAGGACATAGGCTGGATGAGCATACCTTTTAAGCAGCAAGGTTGTGTGAAATTCTTATACTCATATGATTGTGGGAAAATTTGGCTGCCAGTCCCCTCATCAAGCGAAACGAAATAGGGTGGGTGAATACACTTCATGTATCAATGAGCTACTGGTTTTCTCGAAAACCTACTTATAAACGGACATCTGTTCGTCCGTCCGGCTATCAGCTGTGTGTGTGGACATGGGTTTGCAGACATCTTCCTCCTCGTTTCACATTATATATCCTGCCCATGACTTTATCGCCCCTTATCATCCTCTATTTGTTCACTTATTTTCCAGTCCGTGCTTGTGCTTGACGCAAAAATCTCACACAAAATAGACAATGAGGCAGTTGAGCGTGGAATGAGGACAACTGTCTGGCTTTTTGCGAAAGGAAATTGCATTTAGCGTCCCGAGTGGCCGAGGCTCGTGCGGAAGCACAATGTCTGTATGGCCCGGCGACGAGATTGGACACTGTTCAGAGCGAAATGGCCGCCAACTGCCGCCTCGTGGAGTCGTCTGCTTGCCAGCCTCTGCCACGTCGCGGAAGCCGGCAACTCGGCCTCTGGGAGGGACTGGTGACGAGATGCTCTTGTAGAAAGGACACTTCCTTCACCACTCATCTCCGTGGTGAAGGTATTCTTTCCAGCCGTCAGGAGCTGAATTTCTGCCCACTTGCTCTATGCCAAATCAGCACCTACTCAGTCAAGCTCGTCTGGGGAGATTTCGATGATGATACCAAAGTCCGGCAAGTATGTTTCCAGGTGCCGGACTAAAGTGCAGTCTAATTTGCACCACCCTTCCCCCCCCCAGCCTCCCTTACTCCCAACGAGATCCGATAATGAGCCACGAGCATCGTGACGACACGATGCCACGCCTTCAAACAACAGTTGGTACCAATGCATAACTCGTCCTAAAATGTACCTTAGTGCGGTAGTGTTGATGAAGCCAATGTCCATTCACCAAGAAGATACGCGTTTTCGATGACCTCCTGAGATGAGATTGTTGCCAACACTTTCATTTCGTATCAAAAATGCATTATGAATTGATTCCTAGGTCGATCTCACGAGAAGACGATGACTGATTTTGTTTGACTATGACACGACGTTTACGTTGATGCTGTCCACGAGACATGCCTCAACGTTTCGGGCGTCATGTGACGAACATCATCAGAGCTGGGACTCATTCTTGTAGAAGCCTCAAATAAACACAACATCAGGAAGACTAGAGGTTGTTTGAACTTGTTTTCGCAACTTGGTCAAATTGGTAGGAAGACTTATTGGAACGCACCTAGTC